CACACACACACACACACACACACACACACACACACACACACACACACGGAGAGAAAGACAGGGGAGGGAGAGAAGGAAAGATGGTCTAGGCACAGAGACCAAGCTGCACATGGGGACAGCTGCAGCAATGTAACAGAAATGAGGAAGCATGAGGTGGCTCTAGGAAACAGCACAGATTTCACCTCAACCTAAAGCTTCGGCAGCCTGAAAGCACATGGTCTCTCACAACTGCAAAACAGACTGACAAAGTGAACGTTGTTTTGCAGGTCCTGGCTAAGCTTTGGGGGTACTGGAACAAGACTATGGCCCCAAGTCACTGGAAGCTAAAAGAAATATTTAAGAAAAGTTGAGGCTAGAAGTGGAGCTACCATGGCACTTAAAGCCTCGAAGAGGGAAGTGGATTTGGGAGTAAAATATGTATGACAGAAGCAGGTGATTGTCTACCAAATAATGATGCTAAGGGCTCCAGTTTGAGAAACTCTGGAAATGGAGGTTCTGTTAAAAATTAAAAAAAATAGATGTGTGTGATGGTATACCTCTGTAACTTTGAGGCCACCCTTGTTTATATAATGAGTTCCAGGCCAGCATGGCTGCTTTGTGAGGCCCCATATAAACAAACAAATAAACAAATAAATAATACAGGTGGGAAGAGCGTGAGAGCTGAAGAGAGCACGAAGGCTGGCTTTTGGTCCTGAAATGGCCATTGCATTCACAAATTCCCTGAAGCTATGGCTGACTGAATGACAGTAAGCCAGCAGAGGTTCCAACATGTCAAAAACCAGTTCTAACTGGATTCAGTGGGTTCCACAAACCCAAAAGAAGAGAACGTGAAAGGGAGGGGGAATGTGTTAGGGATGCCTGTTGGAGGGCAGGAGGAAAAGGACATGGCAAGCTACACTGTTTATATGGATGAAAATGGTATTGTGGTGGTTTGTATGTTTATCTCCTATGGATAATGTGTTAGCATGTTTCGTCCATAGGGAGTGACACTATTAGGAAGTGTGGCCTTGTTGGAGGAAGTGTGTCACTATGGGGGTGGGCTTTGTGGTCTCATATATGCTCAAGCCACACCCAGTGTGGCAGATCACTTCCTGTAGATGAAGCCGTAGAACTCTCAGTTCCTTCTCCAGCACCATGTCTGCCTGCATGCCACCATGTCCTGCCATGGTGATGATGGAACCTCTGAACTGTAGGCCTCCACCCCCAATTAAACGCTTTCCTTTATAAGAGTTGCCATGATTGTGGTGACTCTACAGAGCAATAGAAACCCTAACTAAGACAGGTATTCTATTTAAACATAAGGGAGGAAGAAGTTTCAGAAAAAAGACTATTTCCATTTTAAATATCAGGAGTCCTTAAGTCTTGCTTAGATAGTCAGGGACAAGATCTACCAGGTAAGGTAAATAATAGCGCTGGGACATAGGTGGAAAGCCTAGCTAGAAGGTGTTTCAGTAGGAAGCTTCCAGCTAGGCCAGGAAAATGGACAGGCTGTGCAAGCAGACAAGGCTCTAACACGCCCTTTAGTGATGTCTACAGTTCCCAGTGGCAGCACTGAGAGAAAATGGTTAGCTAGACAGGAGGGAACATAGGACAGCATTGCAATGCAGCAGCCAAACAAGGAGGTCAACAGGACATACCAAACCACTTACCGCGTTGAAAAGACGAAGGTCAAAAGCATGAAACTCAGTTGAACGGAGACTACTGAGGAAAAAACAAGACAAGACAGTGGACTGAGTGGGAATTGGCACCACAAGAGTCTCCTGTAGCCTGCTGAGATCAACCTAAAACTTGTTCAAAATTAAAAACAACTAAACCAACATACACTGCTAGGCTGGCAGAAGCATAAGAGACTGGACCTAAACTGTTCTCCTCGGACACAGCTGATGGCGGCAGCACTTGGGAAGATCCAGAACACCCTTGAAGGTAAATTTAATGATCTCATTTGTTCGATTTAAAAGAACTGGCTTATACTAAGAGCTGAACAGCACAAATGTATGCATAATGTATCCCTTGAAACAACTATTCTTTTTTTATTTTATTTATTATGTATACAATATTCTGTCTGTGTGTATGTCTGGTGACCAGAAGAGGGCACCAGACCCCATTACAGATGGTTGTGAGCCACCATGTGGTTGCCGGGAATTGAACTCAGGACCTTTGGAAGAACAGGCAATGCTCTTAACCTCTGAGATATCTCTCCAGCCCCGAAACAACTATTCTTGATGTTAAAAAAATTATTTGCTATTGTAATATTAATAAAAGTCATGCCTGAAATTACAGGACAACTAGAATACAAAGTTTCTCTTTAAACTTTAGTAGTTACTGACATTTAAAGTATGCTGCTCCTTAAAAGTAAAGAGCTATTTCTTTATATAAACTTTATTAGAAACTAAGATGGAAGCTTTTACACATTATCCAATGCAGCTGAATTATTATCAATGTACAGTAACATCCTATGTCACAAATCTTTCTGAAGTCACTGTAAGAGATCAGATCGAGTTTAACGTAGTAAGTTAATAAAGTAATAAGCTGGTGACTTATTGAACTGTGACACATCCAGTGCAGACTGTGGCAGACACTACGGCTTCTCTTATCTAACACAAATTACCGTGGATCAGAAAATGGTGCACGGAACATAAAAGTAAAGCAGATTAAGATTGCAAATGTAGTTCTGATGTCTTTCTAAAGAGCATATATATAAGATCAAGTCAGTGAGTAAATAAAATAATAGCCAAGGGGACGGAACTGCCTCCCAATGCTGCAGAGGAGGCCAGGGGACGGCGGGACCTCCTGAGTTCTGACTTACTTATGAAGAGGATGAGGACGAGGCTGAATTTATCCAGGTCGATGTGTGGGTTGGAGAAGGTGTCGCAGAAGGTGGTGTAGATGATCATTAGGAGCACACTGCTGCTGACGGCGCCGAAAGGGGGCTTCTTTCTTTCGAGCCAGTCCTTGATGAATCTGCGGACGATCTGAAACACAGAGATCAACAGGTCGCCTCTTCTCTGAGATGTAGGCCGTGGATTGGGCATCACAAAGGGATTCTGACAGCGCAGACAGAATGGGAAGAGAACGAGCCGTATGGCAGCCACAGTGGACTTCAAAGCTTCCCCGCCTTGCCACTCTTCTTCTGGGGAATTTGGTATTTGTGGTGCAGCTTCCACTGGGTGTCCATAATGAGAGTGGGTTTTCAACTCCATTCAAACCCATCCTTAATCATCCAAATGCTCTTTGCTGGCTGTCACTGAGACAGGCCCATTAAGCCTCCCCCAAGTTTATCTCCTCTGCTAATCTTAATGGATGTGTGTAATTATCACAGTCCCCTTGCCTCAACAGACAATTTCAAGTGCGACTTTGGGAATCTTAAAAATCTGACATCTTCAAGAATTTTCAAGACAGTAGATAATCGAAAGTGATCCATGAAACATATTAATATTTAAAACACTAGCAATGCACCAGAAGTTTTTAATTAAATTATAACTCATGCTTGAAAAGCAAAAGTGCATGTGTTGTGGGAGTTTAAATAATTCACATATGAATATCTAGAGTTTTCTGTGAATCCAAAGACAAATGCCATTTGTACGCTTTTAGAATTCTAAAATTAATACTTAAAAATGAATAAACCTATCCTAACTTTTCTACAAAAGGACTAGTGAAATAAAAGTTACAAGACAGCATCTTCTTATTTTAAGACCAACTCAGATATTTAAAATCAGGACAGTCTAAACACTGGTGGTTCTGTTGGCTTGGGCATGAAAGCCGGCCACTTAGCTTCAAGCTTCACTTTTGAAGGAAATGGTACAAGTTCCACCATCCAGATGAGAGTGGATAAATTTTAAGTTTTGATTCATTCCTTATCCTGAATAGATGAACGTGAAATTTCACAACAGATTGAGTTACCAGAGATCCACTAGCAGTTATGAGGTCAGGGAACCACTGTCATCAAAAAGGCTAAGTTTGCAATGGAGCACGGCCTTATTATGGATACTGGAAACAAAGCAGGACACAGAAACCTCTCCTAGTCACGGCTGTGTTTCCTGCAGTTTCCAGCACCTGTGGGCAAGTTTACCCAGAATATGGCAAGTAAAAACTCAAGAACTAAGAAACTCACAAATTGTGAATACATTTTATTGAAGTTTGTTATCATAATTAAATTTATAATGGTTGTAGTTAATCTTTTACTAGGCCTAACCTGTAAATTAAACTTCATCCTATGTCTGTGTGTCTGCATTTATGTGGTTTGGTTCTAGGCACGGCTTCAGGCTTCCACCAGAGGCTGACCAGGTAACATAGGACTCTGCATTCTCTCTCTGTCTCTGTCTCTGTCTCCCTCCCTCCCTCCCTCTCTCGATTGCTGAATCTGCTTCCCTCAGCAGAAATGAGTAAGCTGACTGTAAATACGTAAGAGTCTTAAAAGAAGGCCGGTCACTTGGTAACAGGCAGAGGAACACAACCTTGAAGCTTGTGTATTGTGGGAATGAAGGAGAAAGAATATTATGGGTTGGGACTTCTTTAGAAGTGGATCTTATATTACAGTAATAACTGGCTCACTGAAATACTGATGGGGAAAGAGAACTCTCAAACTTTTTATTTATTGGTGTTCATTTATTTTCTCAGTGTTGAAAGTGTACTGTGTAGTGATAAGAACAGGTCTGTTGCCCAGTGTTATCGACGAGTGTATAGCAAGTAAATTCTGCAGAGCAGTCTGTGAGGTGTCATGGGTGGTAAGATGGCTTTTGTACAAACTTGACACCATGGGATTTCATTTAGATCATTTCATAATATACTATATGTTAAGTATGGTCTTCAAAATTTTAATACTTCAACTGCTTTAAAAATAAATGGAAATAAATGACATCTGTGACAAGTTACTCTGACTTTAATATAAAATAGTTGAAAACATACAAGTACCCTCTCTGCAATTGACTAGAATGTATGATCCCAACTTTCAAAGTAAATGTGCCCACCTCGCTCACCACCATCTCCCCCCCACCTGACAAAATAAACAAATAAAAATGAATGGGGCAGAGCGTGAGAGCAAAGGCACCTTAGAGCCAAGGCAAATCTTTAATCATCAATCAACATTATGAGCAGTGATTTGATTTAGTTAACCTAATAGTTTCTTCAAAACTTCATTACATGGCACTTGGTCTTGTGGTAGCATAGGTTGCTTTCAATATGGCAAGAAACAAGGGCTCCTAATTCGGAATCCTTCTAGCCCAAATGCGTCCACGGGTCAATGCCTGATACTTAATCTTGATGAAAACAGCTACAGTTGGGAACTGAATGAACCCCCAGGGCAGGGACAACCCTGAGGGGAACAGATCGCCCTTCAGTATTTCTAGAGTCACTGTGTCATCTGGCCTCATTCTCCATCTTTCCAGCTCCACGGAGTCTTTCCATCTTGTTTCAGATGCCATTCCCAGAGCCACTGCTTTTGTACTGTGTACTCAGAGAGGCGATCTGAGGAAGGAACTGCTGATGGCCTCACAGATGAGGCCACAAGCTCCAGGAAGATCCATTCCTCAGTTCATGGCCATACTCTGTTTCTTAAGACTTTGTGACAGCCAGGCAGAGGTGGTGCACGCCTTTAATCCCAGCACTCGGGAGGCAGAGGCAGGTGGATCTCTGTTTGAGGAGTTTGAGGTCAGCCTGGTCAACAGAACAAGTTCCAGGACAGCTAGTGTTGTTACACAGAGAAACCCTGTCTCAAAGCAAAACCAAAGAAAAAAGTTCTCCAGACGGGGGCTTTATGGACAGTTTTAGAAATCCTACAGCAATCAAACCTTTGCTAAAGAGATCACTGCATCCTGAGACTGCCCCATGAGAGAATCCTCAGGAACAAAGACAATGGAGATGCAGTGGGAAGAGGCATCAAGGTGAGGTGGCCAGGTGTATGTGCTTAGAACTTATACTAAATTCATTTGTTCTCTGTTCAGAGAAACTTGGGCATTAAAAATTAAGTAACAAATCCTCATTAGCTATTTGCTTTTCCCAGTAGGGAAGGGGTATGTATGAGTCTCCCACAGGAAGGCTTTCATTTTATTGTTTCATCTTTAATACTTTAATTTTTGTTATTTTAAATTAAAAAGCTGGCAAGGCTATGGGAAAATTAAACTTGACTGCACTTCCAATAAGCTCTGTTTCACATCAATTGTAATATGACTCCACACTGGAACCAGTAAAAGTGGCATACCTTAGGTGAGAATGCCGACAGACCACGATGACTTTGAAGTGGGCAATATTCATCATTTTGGTTTTCTTAATCTTTTTGGCCAATGAATTTCCCTGCTTTTTCTTTCTATTCTGTCTTTACATTTATAAATTGAGTTTGGCGTGAGGATACATGATGGGTAATTCTTCATGTTAAACCTGAGTTTTAAAATTTATTTCTCTTCAAGGTGGTTTCAGGTTCGTCAGTGTTCACCTTCTATTGCAGTGAATTCATATATTTCCATAAAGAGGTTTGTCTCTTTAACATCCTGTTGAATGGATATTGTAAGACAGGTTTATGTTTATAATATGTTTCTCTTAAAATGTTTTATTAAATATTGATTAGTTTAAAGTAATATTAGCATACTTTGAAAAAAGTATAAATAAATAATAAACTGGAATAATCAACATCCATTAGCGATAACCCATCTAAAAGTGGTTATAAGCATCAGTTTGGGAAAATTCCTTCATCCATTCTCAGAACAACGCTGCAGACATCTTGCTGGGGATACAGTTGTCAACAGAGGCTAGAGTTCCTAGACAACCTGCATAAACTATAAAAAGCTAGTCACATGGTGAGCAGGAATATGCTCTCTATTTTGTGAGAGAACTCTGTATCAGGTTATGCATAACCTTGAATCCTGGCTCCACCCTTAACTTCCCATGGCTCCTCTGTGAAAGGGCTATGGCAATAGTTAGAGGGATGACCGTGCGACTGAGTGAACCGAAGGTGCTTTAGAAAAGGCCCGTGTGTGGGGAGTGATCTCACAATTCTGGCTCCAGGTTGGTGAAGTGTCTATCTCTGTTCACAGCATATCCCATCCCACAGGACAATGTACCAGCACAACACAACTGTATGAAGCAAAAGAAAGACAGAAAAGATTTCAGACCCAATTCAGCATCATACGTACAAACTAGCCACGCATTAGTAACACTAACTGCAGCTTACACTAAAGCTCATCTATCAGGAATGGCCAACTGTGAAGCAAATCCTTAGAGGAAAGATGAGAAAATGCCTTTAATTGTTAATTCAAAGAGAAAAGGTGGGCTGTTGTGTGCTACTCTGAAAACTAACCAGGGTGAAAGAAAAGAATAAAAGGGGATAGTGTAATGGATTAACAAAAATGCTGCAGGATCCCCAGATCCCTGGTGACTGCAGTAGCAGAAATGCTGCAGGTCCCCAACTGGCAGCAGCAGGCCATGTGGCAGCGGGCAGCAGGCACAGTTCCTTGAGTGGCTGCAACAGGCCACGAGGACAAACAGATGGACATGCCACAAGACCACACCACAGGTCTCCCAAGGTGGCTGGTCCCAGGCAGGGAGACATATGGTGGCAGGCGAGAGACAGAGTCATGGATAGGCACGCTATGCAGAGTGAGGTTGGATATTTATTTAGTGGGTTATGGAAGGGATGAGGGAGGAGAAGGAAAGAAGAGGTGGGGGGAGAGAAACAGAAGGGGGAAAGGGAAGAAGGAGCAAGGCAGAAGCTGCCTGGGGGTGGGGAGATGGAATAGGAAGAGCCTCAGGCTGCAAGAAAGGAAGCTCTGCCTGCCTTAGCAGACAGGGGAGGGAGTGGGCATGGCTTGTCTCTTAAAAGGACAGGACAGATCATTACAGAAAGAAACTCAGTTACATTAATGCTTATTCATAAATCATCCTTAAATACAATGTATAAAAGAAGCATCTGCCACAGTACTTGGAGCATGGCTTGTCAGGAAGGAAGGACATACCATAATGGCATAAATGTTCCTTCATCAGG